CCCCAAGCCCTACCGAGAACCCACCCCCCAAGCCCTACCGAGAACCCACCCCCAAGCCCTACCGAGAACCCAGCCCCAAGCCCTACCGAGAACCCAGCCCCAAGCCCTACCGAGAACTCAGCCCCAAGCCCTACCGAGAACTCAGCCCCAAGCCCTACCGAGAACTCAGCCCCAAGCCCTACCGAGAACCCACCCCCAAGCCCTACCGAGAACCCACCCCAAGCCCTACCGAGAACCCACCCCCAAGCCCTACCGAGAACCCACCCCAAGCCCTACCGAGAACCCACCCCCAAGCCCTACCGAGAACCCACCCGAAGCCGGACAGACACCCACCTGGAGCCCGAACAGTCACCCACCCGGAGCCCGACCAGTCAAACACCCGGAGCCCGCCAGTTTAGTAAACCGGAGCCTGCCAGTTGAGTGAACCGGAGCCCGCCAGTTGTGTGAACTGGAACCCGTCAGTTGAGTACCTGGAGCCCGCCCCGAGCCCGACCGAGAACCCACCCAGAGCCCTACCGAGAACCCACCCTGATCCCTACAGAGAACCCACCCCTAGTCCTACCATGAAAACACCCTGAGCCCTACAGAGAACCCACCCTGGGCCCGACCAAGAACCTACCCCGAGCCCTACAGAGGTACCCCAAGCCCGAGAGCCCATCCTGAACCCGAAAGAGCCCACCCTGAGCCTGACCGGGAGCCAACCCTAAGTCCTACCAAGAACCCACCCGAAGCCCTACCAAGAACATACCCGAAGCCGGACAGACACCCACCTGGAGCCCAAACAGTCACCCACCCGGAGCCCGACTAGTCAAACACCCGGAGCCCGCCAGTTTAATAAACCGGAGCCCGCCAGTTGAGTGAACCGGAGCCCGCCAGTTGAGTGAACTGGAACCCGTCAGTTGAGTACCTGGAGCCCGCCCCGAGCCCTACCGAGAACCCACCCCGAGCCCTACAGAGAACCCAACCCCCCCGAGCCCTACCAAGAACCCACACCCCCCGATCCCTACCAAGAACCCACACCCCCCCCGAGCCCTACCAAGAACCCACACCCCCCGAGCCCTACCAAGAACCTACACCCCCCCAAGCCCTACCAAGAACCTACACCCCCCCCCCCAAGCCCTACCAAGAACCCACACCCCCCCAAGCCCTACCAAGAACCCACACCCCCCCAAGCCCTACCAAGTACCCACACCCCCCCAAGCCCTACCAAATACCACACACCCCCCCAAGCCCTACCAAGAACCCACACCCCCCCAAGCCCTACCAAGTACCCACACCCCCCCAAGCCCTACCAAGAACCCACACCCCCCCAAGCCCTACCAAGAACCCACACCCCCCAAGCCCTACCAAGAACCCACACCCCCCCAAGCCCTACCAAGAACCCACACCCCCCCAAGCCCTACCAAGACCCACCCCCCCCCCAAGCCCTACCAAGAACCCCCCCCCAAGCCCTACCAAGAACCCACACCCCCCCAAGCCCTACCAAGTACCCACACCCCCCAAGCCCTACCAAGTACCCACACCCCCCCAAGCCCTACCAAGAACCCACACCCCCCAAGCCCTACCAAGAACCCACCCGAAGCCGGACAGACACCCACCTGGAGCCCGAACAGTCACCCACCCAGAGCCCGCCAGTTGAGTACCTAAAGCTTGCCCGGAGCCCCGACCGACAACCCACCCCGGAGCCCCGACCGACAACCCACCCCGAAGCCCCGACCGACAACCCACCCCGGAGCCCCGACCGACAACCCACCCCGGAGCCCCGACCGACAACCCACCCCGGAGCCCCGACCGACAACCCACCCCGGAGCCCCGACCGACAACCCACTTGGGGCCCGACAGAGAACCCACTTGGGGCCCGACAGAGAACCCACTTGGAGCCCGACAGAGAACCCACTTGGAGCCCGACAGAGAACCCACTTGGAGCCCGACAGAGAACCCACTTGGGGCCCGACAGAGAACCCACTTGGAGCCCGACAGAGAACCCACTTGGAGCCCGACAGAGAACCCACTTGGAGCCCGACAGAGAACCCACTTGGAGCCCGACAGAGAACCCACTTGGAGCCCGACAGAGAACCCACTTGGAGCCCGACAGAGAACCCACCCCGCGCCCAACCTTTCATGGAGAAAATTGAACACCAGGCGACAAAAATAATTGCAGAATGAGGTCTAGTTTCATACCATGAACGGTTGAGGGTCACAGGGCTAACAACACTGCAAACTAGGCATGCCAGGATGGATCTCACCGAAACTATTAAAATATCGACTTGAATCGACTTGAGAATGGTCCAGGACGGACCGAAACTCGTCGTCCCTTCAACTTCTAGTGTGTGGTCTGGTCAACATACTTCAGCCACGTTATTGTGACTCATCGCCTGCCTATTAAAATATTGAACAGTTTCGAAGATATGGATCCAGAGAACAACTTCAAAAGGTCAGATGGAACACAAACAAGGAACAACGGTTTCAAGTCCAACAAGCCGCAGTGTAGGACTGAAAACATAAGCTATATTTTCACCCACAGGGTTATAAACCCATGGAACCGCCTATCTGCTAAAGCAGTAAATAACATAACACTTGAATTGTAAAATCCAATTTGAAAAAAAATCGGAACAAATGGGGGACCTGATCTGCTACCAGAAATTTTAGCCAAATATCCCCAGTCTGCTAACTGTAGGTAGTAACCGAGTGATTGTAACCTATCCACCGCTGCCCACTGGATGGGGGGCGGTGTGCAGGACAAACATAAATTGTGACACTAGCTCTCCACATATGTCAGGTGCTTAATTTAGAACCTGTACTTGAGGTCGATCTCGAACCCATTGTTGATGTGACGACTTATATTGAATTTTGTAACTAGCTCATCAAGATTGTAACTTGCTTAGCTAAATGAATTGTGGGGTTCAGTCCCTGAGCCCATTATGTGCCTCTGTAACCCTTTCCACTACCGCCCAGCAGAGGTGCAACAGGTACTCAGAGAGAACTATCAACATCAGAGGCCCGAGACTGTTCAACACGCTTCCACTACACATAAGGGACATAACTGGCCGACCCCTCACAGTGTTCAAGAGAGAACTGGATAAGCACCTCCAAAGGATACCTGATCAACCAGGCTGTGACGCATACGTCAGGCTGCGAGCAGCCGCGTCCAACAGCCTGGTTGATCAGTCCAGCAACCAGGATGCCTGGTCGACGACCGGGCCGCGGGAAGCACCTTAAGGTAGCCCACAAGATGGGTATGGGGTGCATAATAAACGAACTAAACTAACATTGATAGGCATTGTTCGAAGCAAACTCCATACGCGAAACCCCATTATATTATATAATTCTGTATACTGTGTATATATAAGATATAAATATGTCAAAAAGAATTATCACTCTTACCTGGAGCAATGTTGCTAATGTCGGAAATCAGCGGTACATGTTGTCGCGTTGGCGGCAGCGACAGTACTAAGCAGCTGAGCCTTCAACGACCAACCGCCGTTTGAACGCCATTTTGAAATTCCAGGCGTACTACCCGAAAAGTGCGTAAACTAGTATTTGCGTGCATTATAGGCCATTCCAAGAAACCTTATTGCTATGAATATCTTGTTATCTAACAAACGAATTATTTATGTTAATATTTTTAGCACATATGTTAAATTAGGCCATTTTTCATTTAGAGGGGGTATATATATATAGCTATTTACATTTTAAGTTTGAAAAATTACCGTACAAAATTGAATGCAAAGATAAGATAAGATTTATTTATACAACCCTGTTTGGAAATTAACTCCTTTTACAATGAAATAAGACGCAAATAAGAACCTCAATTGTGTAGTGAATTTATGAATTTTGTTTTGATTAAAAGCTTAGGTAGTACAATGTACTACTTCTACTACTAATACCATATTATATATGAGGGGCTACTAAATAAAATTAAAGCACAAGCATGTTCACCTAATATCATTAGCTGACAGGTGAAATAATATGAAAGTCGGAAACTATTTGATTCTCTTAGAATTTCTACTAATCCTTTCTTTCGTCGAGACCAATATATGTCAGTGACCCCTCAGATAAATTTCATTTGCAGAAATCAAATTATTAAGACCGTTTCAAAGAAAACGAGTTAGATATACTTTTATATTTTACCTGAATTTACCCGAGTCTGCAGTTTAATGCTGATAAATGTAAAGTTCTGAGGCTAGGTAATGATGATAGAGTTACAAGATACCAGCTTGATGGTGTTGAGATTGCGAAGTCGGATTGCGAAAGGGATCTGGGAGATATGATTAGTAAGAATTTAAAAGAAAATGATCAATGCCTGAATGTTCGTAATAAGGCAAATAGGACACTGGGATTTATTAATCGAAGCGTTAGTAACAAGACACCCCTGCTGGTCGCCTGGGGCCAGATTCACGAAGCAGTTACGCCAGCACATACGAACATGTACATTTTTTCTCAACCTTTGGCGGCTTTGTTTACAATTATTAAACAGATAATGAGCTGCGAAGCACCAGGAGGCTGTTTATAACAATAACAACAGTTGATTGGCAAGTTTTCATGCTTGTAAACTGTTTAATAAATGTAACCAAAGCCGTCAAAGATTGAACAAAGAGGTACATGTTCGTAAGTACTTGCACTACTCTGCTTAAATTGTTGCAAATTTAATTGGTGATATTAACTAGTAGAATACGTATTTACAATAATAATACAGTATCTAGTATAAATAGCCACAAAACATTTAACGTCGGCGGATATGCCAGTAAACACTCTCCAGCTTATATCTTGGATAAGTCGCTCAACATTGTCGCTTGGACCGTCGACTTCCAATGGCGTCACCTGCCACATTTTTACTTCTAATTATTTTAAAGTTTAGTTAGTGGACTAATTTGTTATTTTTCTTGACATTAGGTATAAGAATAAACAAATGAAAAATAAGTTTATTACAAAAAAAAAAGGTTGAGATTTTTGAGGATGTTGCTAGACTGAAAGACACAGATACACTATTGAAAGCTTGCATAATGCACATTATTTTATTATTAATAACTGTCACTTCGTTATCACTTACTCTAACTTTCCTTTCCCAAATAATGGTTATACTGTACTGTACAATGTATGTTTTTTTGTTTGTATAAGAGTTCAGCAAATACACTTAAGACATGAAAGGTACTGTAGTTGTATTTTAAATATAGAAATTAAATTTATCATGTTTACTTGAATGCTTTGTTTTTGTTCATTTATTAATTTTGAAAATTATTGGAAATATTTTATTTACAAGATAATGTTTTGTAAGGATATTAACTAATTTTATCTCAATGAGTTTATATAAGTTTATATGAGTTTATAGTGACCATAGTCCAGCAACGAGACAACCGGGCCGCGGGGACGCTAAGCCCCAGAAACACTCCAAGGTATACATGTGTACCATTCTATTTTAAGATTTCTTGAGTATATTTACAAATACTGTACCAGTAGTTTGGGACATACCAAGCATCTCAGGGTTAACATTTGATGTAATGTGTCAAGATTTTTATATTACATAATTTATGCAAAAGTGGTAATAAATATTTTTCTATAAGGGGTTTTTATTATTTTATTCCAATTTGTAACTCCATTCAACTGGCTCGTCCATCGACTTGCACATCCATCAACCTGCTTACACTCGTCTATAATTGATGCAGCTTTCAAATAGCAAGAACAGTTACCATGCATTTACCGGTACTACTATATTTCAATAGCATATAATACAATAGTATTGAAAGTACAGTACAGTATTCTATTTTAGATATTGTGTCCATTTTACAGAGAAAACTACATAAGTACTTGAGGTTTCCCTGTGATATAAATGAAGCATGGAAAGGAATATAAAAGCTTATTGAATATGAAAAAAATGCAGGACTTAATTGCTGCACCAAATGAGCAACATTTGCTATTCTGTGCAAGCATTTACTTCCTTAACTGCAGGGTCATCAACATTATGCACCTTGCAACACAGAATTCACTCTTCCATCAACTACCACCAAATGAGTGAAGCTAAACTTATGAATGGTTGTGGATAAGGAATAATTTGAATCTAAAGGCTATAATATTGTAATGAAGGATGTCTGTTTGGGTTTTGCTCATGCTGTAACATTAGCAGAACATGCACATGTTCTCCATATTTTCGAATATACATTTGTTAAAAAAAATTTATGTTATTTTTTAGGCACAAAAGGGCCAAGGATCTTACAGGCACTTTCAATTTATTCAGCGATATTGGAAATAAAATATACATTTATACTCATGAAATGCTGACATACATGCAGTAAAATATTCGTGCATATATTCTTCAGCTGATGGCATACAGTACAAAACATGCATCCATAGAGAATGAATGCATACATACATTTTCAAAATTATTTGTAATGATTTAAAATAGACACAGTAATTCATGTAGTGAGTCTGAAAGATTATTGCTCATTTAAACTTAAGTACAAACGATATGCATCTGTAACACAGTCACAGAAACAAAACTAAAATGTCATTACAAGATTTCTATACAGGAAACAATTAACACATTGTTGATGCACTTCCATAAGTACAGTAGAGCACTGTTTCTAAGGATCGAGCAAAATATATTGTACAAAATATTTGTTTAATAAACTTGAGTAAATTTATCAAGTCTGTAAATAAATAAAAATTAAATGAATGATAAAAACTAAATGAACAATAGAAACTAAACATAACTTATAAAGTGAATCTAAGTAAAGCATAACGAGACAATAACTACCCAGTAGTAGTAAACAGGAGTAACTGACCATAATAAAACTATACATTACACAGACTAAAAATTATAATATAAATTAAATTAAAGTGCAGCTGTGTATGCACACTGTGGAGGGGGGATCCTTTTCCACCATCAGCATGAGTGGTGAGGAGCCCCTTTCTTCAATCGCAAGTATATTTTGAAAATCAAAATTCTTGAACTGTGGTAAGAAATTCACAAGCATCTTGAAACAAAGAATACAGACAGGTAAATGTTACATTGTACAGTATTAATATGACCAATCAATATAGAATAGTTTATAGTTATTTTATTACTAGAGAGCTGTATAATATATATTTTATATATGTTTTATAGTTTGACATTTTCTCCTTTCCATTAAAGGATATTGTTATCAATAAAAAAGAATTGCAAAGCCCCAACATTAAAGGTTTCAAGGACACCATCTCTGCAAAATTAACCATTCAACAGGTAATAGACAAAATCAATGCTGTATTATAAACATCTATTTCAATGATACAACAACAATACACTCACTATTCCCACAACCCACAAGCATCAATGAATAATAAAGTCATTAAGAAATTGACATAATCTTAAAAAAGTCAAATATATCACAAGTCAGTATCAGATACTAGAGACTTGAGATTAACTACAATCATTACTAAAATATAGAACAATATTCTACTTTCAAAATAATGCTGATACACATCTAAAATTCTGTAATGTCAAAATTAATTTCTACATTCCTGATCATTGAGTTACTGTATAAAATATTACGAATTCATAATCAAATAAACATTAAAATATACATATACTGTACAGTTACAGTGGGGAATAAAATAAATATATATATATATATACATAAAAATATAAATTAACATACTGTACCTGAATAATACTGTATATGCAAAAAATTGCAAACAAGTGATTCATTTATGCAAAAAATAGCTTCATGGACAAAGAAGCAATAATTTACAAGTGCTTAAACATATTAACATAGAATTAAAGAATACAGAACAGTGGAAAAAATCTGATTTACTATTTATTTTTCGATATACAGTGCCATTTAAATGCAATATTATAATACTGTTCATTTTGATAACAGGATACAAAGTGCATAAACTAGTAATGTCTTTCTTTAAAGAAACCATTGCTTTTAAACACTGAATAAATATTTAAACCAAGATCACTATACAAGGGAAAATCAAGTCTAAGACTGAATTCAATGCAACATCATGAACTATTTCTTAGGAATATGAGCTCCTAAGCCTATAAATTCTTCAAACAACATAACTATGTTATATTACTACAATCATTACTATAAACAAATTGTAAACTACATTTTATGATTTGAAAGCACCAGGGAATGGATCAAATAAAAGCTTTATGTCTTATGAATAAGTTGAAAAAGGAAATTGCTTGATATGTAGACAAACTGTATAAAACTTAGCCTTTTACATTTGGAAGCACTACCATTAAAACTGTGAATGGACTGTCAAGAGACAAAATATTTATCTCGGTCATTTCAACAGTCTCATTCAGAATTACATTAATTTATGGGTTTGCCATGTACAGTATTCTCAAACTCCAACCTACATTACTGATACAGCAATTCCTATCTCCCACTTCAAAGACATGAATGCAAACCAAGCAGCAAAACTAGAGAAAGCCCTAGGATGAGACACCACATACCATTCATTGGAATTTTTTATACGACATAGCAACTTTTAGTTTACTTAATATGTTCAGAGCGCACTCAATGTTTTTGGGTGGTTGAGTGGGGGAGAAAAACTCCAACTACTGTATTCCCAAAGGAGGCATATTTCTAATTTGAACGATCAAAATTATTATCTGAACTTAACCCTCGCCCCTTCCTTCTATACTTCATGTAAGGGGCTTTTAACATTACATCAGATTATAAAAGTCCCCTCCCCCCCCCCTTTTTGCAGCAACAAGATTTTGGTAGAAAAGTGAGTCTCGGTGATTACCAGATCTAAGGTATAACATCACATCAATTGGTCCTCTGAGTTCACATGTCCCATAAGACCTGTCTTTCCTACTGAAAGCTATTTTATTTTATCTATGAAATACAAAATTGTTATTGTATCCAAAATGTACACAGCCTTTTTTTTTTATCAACCTTTCATGTTTGGAGGGTCTTTTTAAGACTAAGAGCAACAAGGAAAGGGAGTTCCAAGATGGAACAAGGCATCAATAATAACGACATTCATATTTAAATTTATCATTAACATGAGGACCACAATGACTTATTTTGAGTCAGTGTCTAGACTGTGTAAAATACCATGGTTAACCTTTACTACAGCATACTGTATATATTTATCACCAAAATGCATGAGCAATTCTTATTTTAGTAAATAACATTAACTTTTCAGGCACTTCAGTATTCTGAAATAGGCATACTGTTGTGTATTTACACTCAAGGAAAGCTCTTTAAATTTAGTCACAAAATCATACAGAGGGCAAGAGGATTGAATAGACCATTTTTCACACTTATAAATCTGTACTCTAAACTATAGCATAACTCATAAAGAACATTAATGATACTGTAGTGTGCAAGATTCATTAGGCAAACTGCTGTATATATAAATATTAAAACATTATAGCGGTCTGATGACGGTAACTGGTTTGAAATTTCACCTTCTTAACCATCCTTAACCACACACATGTAAACAATGCGAGCACAGTGATGGCAGAGCTTATGACCATCGTATTGGGTATGAAGGGAGCCAATATGAGATCATCTTCGGTGACATGCATTCACAACAAACTACGCCAGACCAACACATTTTTCTTCCTGTGATTTCCAGTGTTTTTCTCACCTCATCAATATAACATTTTGTGCTGGAATTTTGTGTACATGTGGTCATAATAGATTGGAAAAGTCTAAATTCTATCGGAACAATTGATAATATCTAAGGAATGTCATAGTGCTGCAGGTGCTGGAAAGGGCTCTTATTGCTACTGTGCAAGAAAAATTTGACTCTTCATTCATTCATTTTCTTGAAGAATGACTTGAGCACATTAATTATGATGCAATGTAGACTTTCAATGATGTAGACATTTACAATGAAGATGGTGAGGGGATGTACTTGCTTTAGATAATCAACATTATTTGCAAGTACAATACTCAAAATTTTGAGTATTGTACAAAATATTGTACTTGTACAATATTTTGAGTATTGATCATATCCTGTAGAAATAATGTTTCTATGAACACCTACGCCTGCACAGTGAGCAGGAGTACCCGTCAGGTATAGGCAAGTTTTAGGTATGGTAAATAGTTTATATATTGGCCATTTTTTTTTTTTTAACCATTCAATAGAAGATATGTTGGGTCATGTTAAGGCCAAAAAACCACCATTGAATGTAAAGAAACACCTCTTTCTGGTAAGCACTCGGTGGCTACCTGTTCCCTTCTTTTCCTTCCAGGTGTGTTGGTTTGTGGTCTTTCAACTCTGCACTAAGGGTCTGATGATGTTGAAGCAGTGGTAATGCCACCTATTGGTGGCCTGCTCTAAATATGAGGGTTCAATTTAGCTAGTGAGTGAGTGAATTGTTTGCAGAGTCATTTGCTGCTTCAGTTCTTTTCTCTCATGAACCTTGCAGTTGTCTGTATTGCATCGCTTACCTTTGGGATGTCTTCTCAGTAAAGGTGATCATAACAATCTCTGATTTCCTGTGCCTCTGTGAGGAGTCCCAGGTTCTGGCTCTGGTCCCTGGTAGGCCATTCAGGACGCCTAAGGCTGAGGAGACTCGTTTGTGAGGAACTATCTTAGTTAGCTAGCTTGCTTCAGGGAGCTTCAGCCCCCTCCAGTAATTGCCTTTTGTTGCATCAATAACACCATACCAATTATCAAACTAATTGTGAACATTTACAGATGGTAGAACAAGATATTTGAGGAGACACATGAGAGAAAATATGTGTTTGTGCAGATGCTACAAGATAGGTGGTGAGGGGACACACACAAAGGAAAAACAAGAGTTGCACGATGCATTGCCCAGTAAAACAGCACCACACAAGTGGCAACTTGTGTATTTTGTGAACTACATCCTCTTTGATTTGAATTTGGGAGTAACAAAGATATTTGTGCATTCCTAAATTTGTACAATTCGATGCGTTCACTTTGAGAGATCAGGATATAAAACCCAACTCTCCTACAAAAGCTTTGAATGAAGAGGCTAATAAGAAGTCATAATTCACTTGGAAAATATTATGAATATCCAGAAATAAAAACAGAAAAAAACCAGCATTGAATAATGAAATGCCATTTTCTGGGTGAGCCCTGGAGGTTCCCTGGAGCTATCGGGCCAGTTGGAAGCTGCAGAGCTGCGGAAAATGCCCTGAGTTCGGATACCGAGCAAGCTGCGCCCAAATCCAAGGCTGGGCTGGCCACTAAACGGCCATGAGGACTACTCTCCCATAGTAAGACTTCAACTGAGCCAGAACCCGAAGCAACAGCTGGACCGGGAGGTAAGAGGTACAGGTAACCCCACCTCGACCAGTTCTGCCAAAAGGCATTCACAGCAAAAGCTTCGCAGTCAGGAAAGGGCACCACGTATATATCGAGTGACGCCGACTCGAATGGGTACACTTCCGGGAGTTCATATGTCCAGCAGAGCCAACTGAAGGAGTCAGCATTGACCGTCCATTTCATGAACAGGGTAATGAACCGAGACAGGCCATCCACGAAAATGTTGGATGGTTATCTGGGGAGATAACCTCCCCAGATATGAGCCGCACGAAGAGCCAAAACCCGAGAAGCCAGCAGGCGAGCCACTCTAAGCGACCAGCCCCAAAGAGGCGAGGACCAAAGAGAACCCCTGCGGTTCAGGCGATGAACCACCAGAGAACAGTCCGATTAGAGCCGGATGGTCGAACACTGAGCGACACGAATCCTCCGAAGCGACAGCCAAACTGCCGCAAACTTCCTGCACCGTACAGGCAGTTTTCGTTTTGAGGGAGTTCTGCCTCTCTGTTCGGTTTTTGGTTGCAATTTTCTAACATGTGGGGGTCTGTTTTGTTATGCCTACCTTTATGGGTGCCTAGCCCCGGTCGATGGCAGATAAGGTTAACCCCTAACCACAGGGGAGTTTTCCACGGCCATTTCTCCCTGCGCCTCTCCGAGGGGGGCCATTTTCTGGCTAATGGTCCCCAGTAGGCAGAACTCCACAGACTAATGCCCCGGTCTAATGATTCACATATTAGCCCGATAGCTCCAGGGAGCCGAAGGGTCTCCCCACAGAAACCAAGTCTTGAATTCCAAGAAAATGTTTTACTTTAATAATTTATATTGCAGAATTGTTATGTTCGGCTTAAAGAGAACAGGTAACAAAATAGAAACTGGCAAGAGATCTACTGTACTTGCAGTTTAACAGCATTAATTATTATTAGTGTTTTAAACAAACATATTGTAGTTTCTGTGATGCTTCAATCATGGTTGTAACGATCATTGCAATTAATCTCCTTATAAGGACAATGCTTTATGATAAAAGCCCCATTTATCTATTCTAAAACAGTCAGAAAATTAAATGACATTTACTAAATATTATATAATGTTTCAAAATTTTATGTGCAAGAATAATGGAATCCGAGGTTACCTGTGACCAGTTTACTGATATTTTGTTCTCGGCCAACCTGAGGCTGGACTTTCCAGATGATTGCCGACTATTGCTGTTTGTAGCATACGTGCCTACACCGTCATCATAAACCATTGATCCTTGTTAAAAAATATCAAACTACTAACTAGTACAAGCAGATAAACTATACATTGCAAAGTGTAATACAAAAGGCTACATCTTCAACTTTGCCAACATAATGGATATTATTAGTCATTGCCTGGTTAGGCTAAAACACATTTGAATGTTTCAGTACTATCACATTTCATTTATTGATGGAGAATCATTTTTCAGAGGCACTCAAGTGTACTAAAGAGGTCTATACTATTCTGACTGACACTATTATTACCAGTCTTCATTTGTTATTAACCCTTACGCTGCTCCAAATTCTATCTGCAATTATTTCTTGTGCTCCAATTACCATATGCTATTTTTTTCCAATTTAACAACTATTTTTAGCGAGGCACATCTCAATGTACAGTAGTACTTTTAAATAGCTGTACAGTACAGGGGTTAAGGAATATCACTTACTGCCTGTCTTAAGGTTTAAATTCACTTAAACTGGCACTCGAACTGAATAACTGTCTGAATAAAGCACAATATCTTTTATCATTAGAAACAAGGTACAAGAACTTAGTAAAAATACATTAACAATACACACTTGCAAAACCACTTCATAATAAGGCAGACATTTCATCATCTTGGCACAAAGGGACAAAAGCTCTATTAGAATATTAAGTTCCACATTATTTTGTAGATTATTATTAACATGATGTACTAAAAACTTGCATATTTTCTTATATTTTAAGTCATGGTTGCTTAAATTAAGAAAGTAAAGGAAATTTTATCCCTGTTAGTACTTTTAGAAGATTGTATAACTTCATAAAAAAAAATTTTGCAATACTGTATAAAGTAATCTTGAGGAGATATCCTTCAGCCAAGCCCAGGGAAAAGTTTGAAACTTTGCAAAGTTGTCTTAACCTTTGGTATTGTACACATGAAATACTAGAGCTAATAAAATTTTAAATTATCAAACAGTTTTCTTACAAAAACATGTAAAAGAAGACATTAACTGAATATACAAATTGTTTCCAAGTTTTTTCTTTAAAGAATACCAAAACAAAACGCTCAAATCTATATATAGGTATTCTAAATAACTGTATTTTATAAGAATTTCCTTTACTAAAGCAGAATGGATGAAGCTAAAACAAGGGGAATAATTTGGATATACTGTACAAAAACATTATATAAATAAAACAAAAAAAATATCAACAGATCTTTAACTTAAAATCTAGTTATGTACACTGGACACCCAACCCACACATTTGAAAATAATGGAAATGACGATATTGTGGTCCGTCCTGGACCATTATAAATACTGTAAGTTACATTTATACTGTATTAACATTCACCATTTCAAGAATCCTCCTAAAACATCACTATAACAACTAACATGATATAATAACTTATCACATCAAAATACCAGACTAATTCTAATTAAAAAATCATGGTCCCAGAAAGAGTCTTTCAAGTTATATCCATGAAAAATGATAAAATGACGATATGCATTATATTTGATATGAATAATTAAGACTCCAGAAATTTGGATATTTTCAACACTTTAGTGAAAGCCTCTTGCATAAACTAAAGTATGATACCAATACTGACATTAAACAGCCTCATCTTCTTGGCAATACCAAATGTATTCTTCATTAATTCTTCTTTTCAAGCAATTCTGTAATTGTTGAATCCATAACACCATCATGCTCCACTGATATCAGAGAATTCTCTTTGTTGGCAGTTGTAACGGCTTGCTTGTCTACTTTGGCTCGAATATCCTTTTCTGAAGATTTTACATCAGATGAGCCCTCAAGCTGCAATTTGGCGAAGTTTGATGGAGTGGAGAGTGCTTTTCCATCAGACAAATTGGTTGCAATCTGGTCGTTTATCAATGCATCTCTAATCTGACGAGATATGGAGCTTCTGTAGCTACTATGGGAACGTATTTCGGGCCTCCCACCCATGAAACTACCTTGAGATAAAGATGTCTCAGAGGTTGGACACGCAGATGGCTGGTGAGCCTGTGGAGACTGTGAATGTGACCTTGAAGGTTGATGAGGGCGTGGTGAAGGTGGGAGCTGAAGAGACAGTGGCAGATGAGAATCTGTTTGGTGTGTTCGTGTTGTCTGCTGCAGTACCTGGTATGGAGGTGGTTGACGCATATGAGGTGGAGTAATTGTACGAGTGGCTCTAAGAATGGACCTTTGAGGGTGACGACTTGACAGTGACTGCGGACTAGGTCTACTACCAGTTAATCTGCCACTAGCTGTCTGGATGCTTACTAAGTCTTCCCCTACATCTGTACTGCCACCACTTATATCTCCCTCAGCTCCCCAAAGTCCAGATGCACGAGCATCACTTACCTCCCTCAGAATCGCCTCTTGTTGATCTTGGATCTGCAGCAGCTCCTACAAAATAGTAAATTTTATTAGAAACAAAAATATTGTACATAAGAAAAAAACATACTGTACAGGACAAGAGTTAGAAAAATTATACTGAACAATGTTTGGTGTCTCTTATTACTTTCCCAAATTCTTACTTTCCTTTCTGTTTAAATAACTGTACTTTTTTGTTTTGTAAGGTAGAAGTATTTATGTACCCTCAAAATATATGCAAACTGTTTACCCTCTTGAATTGGTGGCGGGTACTAAAGCACACTGCCAGGTGTAAAAGTATGTTATATTCTTAGCCAGTTTAGATATGTTTTTGTGATATTTTGACTAGTAGATTATAGAGCCAGGATGTTACATTAATGCTAAGGATTAAGGTGGCATTTGAGTACTGTTCGGAATATTTTGTACAATGTGATATTTGTAACAAACCGGAAACCACCCATGTTGTGTGTGGAGCATTCTTCGGTAACTGGAGACAATGGGGAGGTCATGGTGTGTGGATGCACATTTCATAGTTAAGTATTCCTTCTGCATTAAGTATTTGAGCCATCATTCCTATTTCATATCATGTTGTGCTGCTGCTTACTACAACATTGGTTTCCTGTTACCTAGAATCCAGACACTCCAGCAAGTGATTCAAATGACTTGTGATGTATTAGATTAAGTCAAGAGTTGTTCCCGTAAGGGAATCGTAGTGCCTATCACTATCTTTCACTTGTACATCTTGTCCCCTGCCAATGTAGGGTTATGGATTTATTATAATGTAGGATGTAGTAAAGTAATATTGCTTTCAAGGGAGGGTTAATAAATGTGAATAAAGTGTAGTTGGATTTTTGCTACTATTAGACTAAAGTGCTGTACTGTACTTCATATGAGGAAGTGAAGCTTCCTGGGGGCTGGACCTTGCCTAACTTCACTGGAGGTCATTCTAGCAGACTTCCACTAGACCCACTCCTTAAACCCCCTAAAACCCCCGGTAGTAACAGTCACCAGCACATCAGGACCACAACCACTTGCCAACACCTGAGAATACCCTAAGCAGCCATGCACTATTGCTGCAAATACCTGGTGAGGTGGTTTGAAAAATTGCCCTAGAACTGCCAGTATGTTAGGGAGTGGTGAGCAAGTACAGTATGGAGTTTGCTAATTTCTAATAAATGCTGTGAAAAATTTATATGTACAAAATAATTCATAGGTAAAAATTAATGCCAAAGTTACAAAATGTCTTATTAGTGTGTTGATAATTATGCCTTATTTAATTACCAGGCAAGTGTACTAAGTGGGACAAATTTGCTTCAATTCACTGTATTAACTAATAACAAAATATCAAACCAAGATGTTTCAGCCATCTTGTCGCACATGACAGAGCTCTGAATATTTAATAACTTTGTAATATACTGCTCCAAATCTCTCTAGTGAGTTAATATATCAGATATTGCAAACCCATCCCAATCAAATGGAGGATACCAAAGCACACACAATTTATCCATAATGTATACAAGTTTAAACCACATTACTTACAGCAGTCAGAGTAGTTATTACATTCCCTTGTTGTTGGAGCTGTTGCTGCAGTCGTTCCCTAGTAAGCCTTTCCTCTTCCAGTTGCAGCCATAGCTCCCGGCATGTGTTTACCACCATCTGGGAACATGTTAGATTTAATGCTTGGTATGAACCAATGATGATCATGCATCAATCTGTCCTTTATTCACAACAAGTCCAAAATCAATGCACACAATGAAGAACCTCAGATAATACAGATGTCAAACATCCTTCATATTATTAACATCTTTATACAGTACAGTACTACAGTACAAAATAAAATCAATACTTATACTGTATCTTGAAAAAGTCAACTTCATAAGTGTAACACATGTATACTAACTGTTATTGTATGGTCTAGGCTCGTTCTTGTCGCTGCACCTTGAATGGTGTCAAGTGGTTTTCGTACATCCCTTGTCGAACTTGATGATCTAGCTCTCTGTTTTAGTAAATCTTCTGGGATTTTCTGTTTCAACTCATTTAATGTACTACCAGAAGTTTCAGTTTTACTCTCTGGATTTTGTGACTTGCATGTTTCATCTTTTGTGTCAACTCCTGAAGTTCTAATCTGATTACTGGTGGAACTGTCAGCACTATCTGGCAGTAGAGATGTTTTTGTAGGCACATCATTTTGTTTCCCATCATTTTCATTTAATTTTACATCCTCTTCTCCATCTGAAAGCAACCAAAACATGAGAACAACAGCAGTCTAGTAGTTACTCACTTTCCAGCAGAAAGGATTCATGTTTTTGGTCCAACTAAATACTGTAGCACTTCATGAGAGTTATGTCCAAGATTCTAGACGAGTCTGCCACACGAAGAGGTGAAGTTATCAGAGGAAGCAAGACAGCAAGGATAGTTCTGTACAGTATAAACAGATAAAATAAATACCAGGTTTTCGTTGTTGCTGCATGGCTTTAAAATCTGGAGAAGACCGAGTGTCCATCTGTCGCACTCTCTGTGAAGCAATTAACATTGCATTGGATTGAGCCAATATTGAATCCACACTCTGGGGAAAAGATGGAAAGGAGAATTAGTTTAAATGAAATTTCATAAATTATAAAATTATTACAGTAGGTAAATCTCATGCCAAACAGAAATGGACCACACCAATTCTGCTCTATTCTAAAGTTATTAATTTTTAAAAAATCTTGTTGCATGCATACTTGCTGTCTAGCTGCCTGAAGTCTGGCTGCCAATGAAGGCGGCAAATTTGGACTATAGGAACCAGTCCGCCGGCTTTGTTCCAATAAGTGTGCTCTTGCTATAACTTTATTAGATGACTGACGAGCTGCTAGTTTTCGTGCTAATTCAGCAGGAGTCAATCTCATGGAGGCTAAATCATGCACAGTATCCTGAAACCATACAACATTTCAAATACTGTAACATAAATGTCATGTGTCACAAACAACTCACTTTACAGTGTGACCTCGCTTGAATGGAACAAAGTGGACCGGAAACCTCAGTGGGCCGGAAAAAATGGCTAATGGATAAACTCTTGGAGAACTGGAATATGGTGTCTGCTCCACCAGACTGTCTTGGTAGACCAACCTGACTGCTGGGTGGATATACCATAGCATATTGTAACTGGATGTGTACTGGATAGGTGTTTTTTTTACCTTTTATCGTATGGTAGGACCTCTGTGGTACTCGGTGAATTGTAACCAGTTTTCTTTGGTTATTTCATTATTTTTAAGTCCAAATAGATTGAGAAAAATGAGAGCCTGGAGAGTGCCTAGCAAGTTACAAGTAAAAACCAGCGTTGAATGTAATGAAACGCCATTTTCTGGGTGAGTCCCGGAGGCTCCCCGGAGCTATCCCAGGCTGATATGCTAATGTCAGACTTTGGCATCAGTCATGTGTATGGAGTTCTTAGGCCTACCGGGGACCACGGCCAGAACCGGGCCCCCTCAGAGAGGCAAGGGGAGCAATGGCCTATAGAAGCCCCCGTGTAGTTGGAAGCATTCTATGTCTGCCATCGACCGGAACAGGCACCCAGAAAGGTAAGCGCCCCAAAACAAACCCCTATTCTGGTTAAAATTGCTACCTAAAACCGAACTAGTGGATAGAACTCCCCAACCGAAAACAAGCAAACTAGTGTGACGTCACACACTGCCGCGCCGCTGTCTGCGCAGCTCCCCCCTCCCCGGGAGGGGGAAGGGGGAGCCCCAGACCCCCCGCGCCGGCTACCCACACCTCAGTTCTTGAGGCTGGATGTCAAAAACGCGAAAAACCGCCGACCGGAGGGAGGGAGGGATGCCGGGGAGCCTCCGGGACTCACCCAGAAAATGGCGTTTCATTACATTCAACGCTGGTTTTCTGGGGGGAGCCCCGTCGGCTCCCCGGAGCTAACTACCCACAGACAGAAAAAGAGGGACTTACCCGGGAGGCGGTCGTCGCTCACCCCTCAACTCGAAGCCGAGACAACTGGCTGCAACCGCCGACCCAAAGCAACACAGGCCCGACGAGGCCCAGGGACATTCACAAGGTAACGAGCAGCCAGGACCCTGTTCGACCGCCAAAATCCCCGCGCCCGAATATCAGACCAAGACATATTCCCAAAGACGGCAGCAAGAGCCGCGAACTTACGAACGTCATGGGCACGGGGATAGACCGCAGGCTGGCTGGACCTAATAACCCTGCGGACGACCTGAGAGACCCGAACCCGCGAACAGGGAAGAAGGGAAACCGGATCAACCCACAGCGCGTCCCCGGACACAGAAGCTGTGGCGCGCAAATAACGGCGAAGCGCCGCAACCGGACACAAAACATGATGCACCCCCGGCCTGACCAACCAAGCATCAACCACCCATGGACCCCTCCGGAACGCAGCAGTCTCATTCTTCGCCAGAAAAGAAGGAGACGGCTGCAAACGAACAAAACTATCACCACGACCAAAAGAGCAGAAACCCCTGCGCCGGAGGAGAGCATGAAGCTCCCCTACCCGACCCCCAGAGGCCAAAGCCAACAAGAAAAGTGCCTTGGAAAAACAATCCTGGACCGAAGGGGCCACAACGAAACGAGGAGATGAAAGGAAAGCGAGCACTCTGTCCAAAGACCAGGACGGCTCAGGCGACGCATGAGCAGGCCGGAGGTGAAACAATGCACGAGACAGCTTGCGAAACGGCGCAGACGTAACATCGATACCGAAAGCAAGCTGAAGCGGCTCCGCCAGCGCCGCACGATACGAAGCGACAGTGTTAGGCATAAGATGACGGTCCTGAAACAACCACGAGAGGAAGGACAAGACCACCCGAACAGACAAGGAGCTAAGACGACGAAGACGCAAAAAGAAACGGAAGGACCGCCAGGAAACTTCATACTGCCGCCGAGAAGAAGCCCTCAGGTGGGACACCAACAAGGAGGCCACCTGATCACCATAGAGATGATGATAGACTCGAGTCAAAAAAACCATACGCGAAGACTCGAGGAGAAGATCGAACCAGCTACGTGACGTACCGGCCCGATCTGCTGAAAGAGGCGGAGCCGCGGGAAAACCCTCGGGTTCGGACACCGAGCAACCAGCGCCTGAAACTAAGGCTGGGCCGGCCACCAAGGGTGGCAAAAACAAACTGAATAAAATGACAGAACCCCCCACCAGGCAAAAACAAAAAGAAAAACAAAACCCCGCAAGAGGACAGCGAACCCCAAGGAACAGAGCCGGCCGCGATGTCGGGAATTACAAGCTGAGCAGCACCCTGCGCCCCTACCAGTGCAAACTGCCTCTTACCTGCCGGTAACAAGGAAGAACAGAACACCCAAGAGCCCAACAGGCGGCCGAAAAACCGAAAGGTAAAACGGACCAGCAGAGGCAGACCCCGAGGAGCCTGTGGAAGGTGGCCCCAAGCCCCAAGGGCAGTACTTACAGGGCACCTAGGGAAGGCAGCCCTAGGCGCATGCAGCCCGAGTACTGAAGATAACTCCTGGCTCTCGCACCCACAAAACTAACACCACACTCAAAGCACAGTGCAGTAGCGACACCGGAGCCAGAGCACACGACCATCGCCTATAGCATCAGCCTCAAGAACTGAGGTGTGGGTAGCCGGCGCGGGGGGTCTGGGGCTCCCCCTTCCCCCTCCCGGGGAGGGGGGAGCTGCGCAGACAGCGGCGCGGCAGTGTGTGACGTCACACTAGTTTGCTTGTTTTCGGTTGGGGAGTTCTATCCACTAGTTCGGTTTTAGGTAGCAATTTTAACCAGAATAGGGGTTTGTTTTGGGGCGCTTACCTTTCTGGGTGCCTGTTCCGGTCGATGGCAGACATAGAATGCTTCCAACTACACGGGGGCTTCTATAGGCCATTGCTCCCCTTGCCTCTCTGAGGGGGCCCGGTTCTGGCCGTGGTCCCCGGTAGGCCTAAGAACTCCATACACATGACTGATGCCAAAGTCTGACATTAGCATATCAGCCTGGGATAGCTCCGGGGAGCCGACGGGGCTCCCCCCAGAAAATAAATTATAGACCAGCCCACCCTTGCCTTCCACTGATAAAGTAGTACTGGAGAGATACAATGTATAATGTTAAACTTACATCCCAAACTGGTCTGTTAGGTCTGAACTTGTGTGAAGGTGACCCTGAATGGTGCATCCTTCTGGGAGAGTGATTATCCCCTTCCCTCAGACCCAACCCCAGACCATCACTGTTCCATCCATGGCGGCCTCGTGGCCACGAATGGTCCTGCTCCATCTCAAATCTGCAGGATCCATAAAATTTAGAGGATGAATTTAAAATGCGAAAAAAATAACAAAATAGTAACTTTCAGGAAAAAAAAGTATAGAACTTCAAAAAATGCAATTTCAAAAAATGTCATTATGACCTCTGCTTTGTTCTATAATCATAATACATCAAAATTATAATTCAACATAATTAATTACAAATTTTTATACATGCACTAAACTATAAATTTTGCTACTATCAATACGCAGTAGCTAGTTTTGCTATTACGGGATACTGATCACTGCACCATTTAATTTTATGGATACTGTATTGCACATTTTTGTACAGTCCTTTGAGATATCTTAGTCTAAAGATATTTCTCCAACCTTTGTGAACTACAGTACTGTACTTCACTGTGCTGCTCTCCGAGAAAGATCTATTGTGTCTATAGGACAGGACATGCTACACTGGTACTACAGGGGACTTTTCAAAATATTTTTGCAGGGTGAGTAAAGTACTAGGGAGTCACTGGTGAATAATCAAACCAGCCCAGGCTGATCAATGCAGTTCAATCATAAAATTCACAAGGCCTACAAAATCCACCCTTTCCTTGATATCACAAGTAACTGTGAAGAAAGTGCTTTGATTAACTACCCAGTTAGTTTACTAGGATATCACTGTTCAATGGCACCAGGTGGAAGTATCGCACACACCTCCAGTTCCCCTTCATATATGCAGTTCTTCCTAGATGTTCCATGTCGGCAGGCAAGCTGATTAATTTAACAACAACCAAAATTATTCATTTTTTCACTATTTAGGAACTATGAATCCATTGCACAAGACTTTTAGTACATGAAGCCAGCCTAGAGTATTGTTTATATGTCTTGAGTGTCCCTAATTACTTTCTGTCTTTGTTCTCAAAGTTCAGTCAGTGATGAACCAACCCATCCTCTTGAGTTGTCACAATGTCACAAAAATGATGTACTGAATTGGCCAAACCTAATCAATGGACCTCATTAATAGAAAAAGTAAAAGCCGATCAATTTAGCATGCTGCTGTGATTTATAGAATAATACATCATATTTTGATATTGGGGATTTTTACATAAACTACAATGTATTATTCGAGAAGGCAGGCTGGGTGAACAGTAGCGGTTTAGCTCAATAAATCCAAACCACCTTAAACCTGTTCCCTCCATCATCAGGCAAATTGTTAAGATGCACATGAAAATCACAAGTATGACATGATATATCTCCACTGTAGTTCATGTGCTTGTGGTGTCAAGGAGTGTGGGTTTTGATTCCATCGTAAGGTTTCAATACTTTCAAGTTAGGTGTTTGCTGGTACAGTATTCAGGATTACCTAGGGGATAAGTGCTTGTCCTACCCATACTATTTAGCCTACAACTGTAATTTACACATGTACCACCAAAAACCGTAATAGAAAAACAAAATTGAATACAACATTACAGTATTATATTTAACTGTATAATTTGAAAGTACTGTAGTCATTCTTGTATATGTTACCGAATATGAGTTTTAAAGCAGAGGAATTCACTACCCATCGAAGCCACAAATGCCAAAACACTGCTGAATTTCAAAATCCTGCTCGATAAAATCATCAGGACAAATAAGGAGACCTTTGACAAGCCACTGGCTTATTGTTCTTGTTGAGGTGACTAGAGAGAGAGTGGCCATCAGGTAAATTCTGGTAATTACCAGCACCCCAGTACCTCCAGTGGTGTATAAGGGCCAAACAGTGAAGAATACCAGCACCCCAGTACCTCCAGTGATGTATAAGGCCCAAACAGTGAACAATACCAGCACCCCAGTACCTCCAGTGATGTATAAGGCCCAAACAGTGAAGAATACCAGCACCCCAGTACCTCCAGTGATGTATAAGGCCCAAACAGTGAAGAATACCAGCACCCCAGTACCTCCAGTGATGTATAAGGCCAAACAGTGAACAATACCAGCACCCCAGTACCTCCAGTGATGTATAAGGCCCAAACAGTGAACAATACCAGCACCCCAGTACCTCCAGTGATGTATAAGGCCCAAACAGTGAACAATACCAGCACCCCAGTGATGTATAAGGCCCAAACAGTGAACAATACCAGCACCCCAGTGATGTATAAGGCCCAAACAGTGAACAATACCAGCACCCCAGTGATGTATAAGGCCCAAACAGTGAACAATACCAGCACCCCAGTGATGTATAAGGCCCAAACAGTGAACAATACCAGCACCCCAGTACCTCCAGTGATGTATAAGGCCCGAACAGTGAACAATACCAGCACCCCAGTACCTCCAGTGATGTATAAGGCCCAAACAGTGAACAATACCAGCACCCCAGTACCTCCAGTGATGTATAAGGCCCAAACAGTGAACAATACCAGCACCCCAGTACCTCCAGTGATGTATAAGGCCCGAACAGTGAACAATACCAGCACCCCAGTACCTCCAGTGATGTATAAGGCCCGAACAGTGAACAATACCAGCACCCCATTACCTCCAGTGATGTATAAGGCCCAAACAGTGAACAATACCAGCACCCCAGTACCTCCAGTGATGTATAAGGCCCAAACAGTGAACAATACCAGCACCCCAGTACCTCCAGTGATGTATAAGGCCCGAACAGTGAACAATACCAGCACCCCAGTACCTCCAGTGATGTATAAGGCCCGAACAGTGAACAATACCAGCACCCCATTACCTCCAGTGATGTATAAGGCCCAAACAGTGAACAATACCAGCACCCCAGTACCTCCAGTGATGTATAAGGCCCAAACAGTGAACAATACCAGCACCCCAGTACCTCCAGTGATGTATAAGGCCCAAGCGGTGAACAATACCAGCACCCCAGTACCTCCAGTGATGTATAAGGCCCAAACAGTGAACAATACCAGCACCCCAGTACCTCCAGTGATGTATAAGGCCCAAGCGGTGAACAATACCAGCACCCCAGTACCTCCAGTGATGTATAAGGCCCAAACAGTGAACAATACCAGCACCCCAGTACCTCCAGTGATGTATAAGGCCCAAGCGGTGAACAATACCAGCCTAATCAATGGTTTACTTCAGCCTCTCAAATGTTGCGCGAGCAGTCAACTTAGCACCCATAGTCTTCCCAACCACAAAACACACGCTTAAATATATTATACCAAAAAGTTTAATCCAAATTTAATGTTATTTATGTATAAATTTAATACTTCATAATGTCTGTGTCAAGAATATTATCAGCATTGATACTTTACAAAGTATAATATATTTTCTCTCTCTCGGCCCAAAATATAATTTATTTATTTATTTATTTATTTATTTATGCATATACAAGAATGTACATAAGGAATGTGAGGATACAATTATGGTAATTACAGTCTTGTAAAGCCACTAGCACGCGCAGCGTTTCGGGCAGGTCCTTAATCTAAGAAAATTTTAAGGAGGTAAATACTTGCAAAATTTATAGACAAAAAAATGATAACAGATTACATGGAATGAAAAAAAAAAAAAAAAAAAAAAATGAGAGAAAATTATAGGTACAGTATATTAAAGCACATAGGTAGCTATGATTGATTGCAATGACAGCTTAAAATGGTAGTTGACAACAAATTGGTAGGCACAATACAGCAGAAACAATATAAGATTGATTGCAATGACAGCTTGAATGGTAGTTGACAAAAATTGGTAGTCACAATACAGCATATGGCTAGCACATAAAAGAAGACAGCAATGAACACAATGATAAGGTTGTTTGATATTACATAAAAATTAGGAGATTGGGTACCACTAGGTACAGAGCAAATTAAAGCTCAGTGTAGGAAACTAAATAGATGAAGTTAGGTACTTTTTGGTTTTGCTTTTAAATAAGGCAAAAGTTTTACAGTTTTTCAATTCACTAGGGAGTGAGTTCCATAGACTAGGTCCCTTAATTTGCATAGAGTGTTTACACAGATTAAGTTTGACCCTGGGGATATCAAAGAGATATTTATTTCTGGTGTGGTGATAATGGGTCCTATTACATCTGTCCAGGGAGAGTTTCAGAGCATGGTTTGCATTTAAGAACAGGGTTTTGTAAATGTAGTTGACACAAGAGAATGTGTGGAGGGAGTTAATATTTAGCAAGTTTAGAGATTTAAACAAGGGAGCTGAGTGTTGTCTGAAAGCAGAGTTAGTTATTATTCTGATAGCAGATTTTTGCTGTGTGATGATGGGCTTAAGGTGGTTTGCAGTGGTAGACCCCCATGCACAGATACCATAATTAAGATAGGGGTAGATTAGTGCATAATATAGTGAGAGGAGAGCAGAGTTAGGAACATAATATCTGATTTTGGAGAGTATACCAACTGTCTTAGAGACTTTCTTAGTTATGTGTTGAATGTGGGTGCTGAAGTTGAGTCTCTTGTCTAGGAATAGGCCAAGAAACTTGCCATCATTTTTATTACTGATGTTAATGTTGTCTATCTGTAGCTGAATTGCATTTGATGATTTGTTTCCAAATAAGATGTAGTAAGTCTTTTCGATGTTTAATGTTAGTTTGTTCGTTGACATCCATAAGTGGACTTTTTTTAATTCATTATTCACAACATTATTTAGTGTATGTGGGTTGAGGTTTGAGTAGATAAGGGTAGTATCGTCAGCAAACAATATAGGTTTGAGAATATTAGAGACATTAGGCAGATCGTTTATATATATAAGAAATAGAAGAGGTCCTAAGATGCTGCCCTGTGGCACTCCAACGGTAATTGGTAGAGTGGAAGAAGTTGTATCATTGATGGTTACATATTGGTGTCTGTCACTAAGATAGGATCGGATGTAGTCAAGGGCAAGGCCTCGGATTCCATAATGCTGGAGTTTAAATAAGAGGTAGTTGTGATTAACAGTATCAAAGGCTTTTCTTAGGTCAATGAAGAGTCCAATCGGAAACTCATTTTTGTCAAGGGCTGAGTAGATAATGTCAAGGAGACTAATGATTGCATCATTGGTACTCTTTTGGGACCGGAAGCCAAACTGGCAGGGGCTGAGTATGTCGAATTTTACGAGGTAGGAATAGAGCTGTTTGTAAATAATTTTTTCAAATATTTTTGATAGAATGGGTAGATTTGATATTGGTCTATAATTGTTTATGTCCGCCGGATTGCCTCCTTTATGGACTGGCGTTACTCTTGCTTTTTTGAGGATATCAGGGAAGGTGTGACACTCTATAGATTTGTTGAACAGTAGTGCTATGGGTGGGGCAAGGGCATGGGAGGCTCTCTTGTACACAATGGACGGAATTTCACTGGTGTTCCCTGCCTTGGTTTTTAGAGAGTGTATGATGGACACAACATCTGCCGGGCTGATTGGTGAAAGGAGAAGAGAGTTTGGATAGCTGCCTGAGAGATATGTGTTAATATGTGTCTGAGTCTGTGGGATTTTACTGGCAAGATTAGCACCAACCGATGAAAAGAAACTATTAAATTCATTTGCCATTTCTAAATCAGTTGAAGGTATATCCCCATCCTTGTAGAGTTTTATTTGGTTATGTGAGTGTTGTTTAGTTCCTAGGATACTAGAGATAGTTTTCCAAGTGTTTTTCATGTTACCTTTTGCTTCATTGAATCTATTCACATAATATGCAAGTTTTGCCTTTCTTATGATACTGGTAAGCATTGATGAGTACCTTTTAGCTACTTCCCTTGAAACTAGGCCAATCCTAACTTTCTTTTCATATTCATGTTTCTTGTTGATTGAGTTGAGAATGCCATTTGTGAGCCATGGATTGTTTAATCTTTTGTCAGTTACTTGCTTTGTAAGAAGGGGACAATGAAGGTTGTAGAGGCTTAGAGTTTTGGAGAGGAAGAGGTTAGCTAATGAATTTATATCATGGGTATTAATGAATTCAGAATCCCAGTTAATATTGTGAAGTGCCTCTGTAAGATTGTCTAAAGCTGATTCACTGTGTAGCCTAAATGAAAATTTCTTGCTTTTTGGTGGTGTTATGTCCATGTTCGCTATGAGAAAGGTAGGATAGTGGTCAGTTGTTCTGTCGTAGATTATACCAGATACAAGGGGAGCTGTTATGTTTGTCCATATGTGGTCCAAGGTAGTGGCTGATGTTTGAGTGACTCGGGTAGGTTTGGTGATAGTGGGGATTAGCATACAGGAGTTCATGCTGTTAAGGAAATAGTCAACTTGAGAGCAGTTTTGTTGACCCAGGTCAATATTAAAGTCTCCTCCCAGAATGATGTGGTTTTTGTTGAGATTGTTGTTTATAATAAGATTCCTTAGGTTGTCTGAGAAAGAAGCTATGTTAGTATTAGGAAATCTATAGATGGCTCCAATAGTCAAAGAGGATTTAAGGGATTTAATTGTAAACTGAGCAAAAGTATATTCACAGTAGTCATCTCTGTCACTAATAACACTGTTGCAGATAAATGTATCTCGGTAATATATAGCTGTGCCACCACCTTTTTTATTAGGCCTACAGTTATGAATGGCTTTATAACCAGCTAAGTTGTAGAGTTGGGTATAGTCTTTATTTAGCCAAGTTTCTGTTAAAATAATGAACGATAGGTTAGTACCTAGTGCTGTGAGTAGTGCATTTAAATCGTCAAAATGTTTACCAAGTGATCTAACATTTTGGTTATAAACTGATAGACAGGTGCTATTTTGGAGTTTGTTTTTAGCCTGGTGTGCTGTGAAATACTTGCAATAATGATGATCAATGTGCTGGTTGGTATAGATATGAGACAGAAGATTTTGATCAGGATCAATATCAGTGTGCATAGAGATGCAGAGGGATAACGATACAAGATACACGATAAAGCAAAACACAAGAATAAAAGCAGATACAATAAAATAGTAACAATTTAGAAGTAAAATAAAGATCCAATAGATAGCCAGGGAGGACACAGAAGTTACATAAAATAAAACACAAAAAATCAGTAGAGACTGACAATATAAATGTAAAATAAAAAATAATAAGAAAAATAATAATAATCATAAAAAAATGATCTTGAAGATAATTAGCTTAGTAATGGTTAATTAACAGGGTAATAAAAAGCCCTAGGTTTAGTGACAAGGGGATTAACTAAGAACAAATAATTAAGAGTATAAAACAGGCAAAGATGACAAACAAAAAATAAAGTAAAAATTAAAATAAAAATAAAAATAAACACCTTTGGAAAGGAAAGGCAGAGCTTAAGTACACTTTGGTTGTATGTGAGACTACAAATTATGTTCTGGTTATTCAGCTGATATCCCACAGTCATCCAGGAAAGAAGTGAGGTGTGCTTCAGTGGTTATGACATAAGTTTTTCCAGAGTCAGTCTTCCTAGCTATTATTTTACCATCGCGCACAAAACAATGTTTAATAGCAGTGGATCTATTGCGAATTCCACGTAGTTTAAATAAGAGATTTTGTCTGAATCTGGTAAGACATTCGTTCACATAAACATTGGATTTCCTAGCGACTGCAGCAGTGATAAGGTCTGACTTGCGGGAGCAGCTATCCAACTTCACGCGTATCCTTCTGTTGTTTGCACCAGATGATTTGGTACCCACTCTATAAGCTGACTTAATGTCTCTTGCTTCGATTGAATAATTCAACTTAGTACGCAATTCCTGGATCACGATGGCAGTACAGTCTTCTCTGTCAGTTTCATGGGGAAAATCCTGTGATGAGATGATGACAGAATCAAGGAGCTTAAGTTGGTCTGATTCGTCTTGGGTTGCAGTTTGTTGCTGTTGTAGGGAGTTAAAGTGGTTCTCTAACTTTTGTAACATCTCTTCTTGCTTCTTAGAGGTAAGAAGAAAGCTACCCGCTTTAGTGGCCTCGACGGGGACAGTAAGCTGTCAGCTTGTCAAAGATCCCTATCATTTTTCCTGATGATTTATCATTTTATTGAACTGGATTTTGAACTGCTGTATTATTTTGTCATGTACAGCTTCGGCTGGTAAGCGGTTCCATGGGGTTTACCTCAGTTTACCCCGAGAGCCACTAATAATAATAATATCATTATTATTATTTTATTCGGGAAAAGTACATACATAGATGCAGAGTTACAAACATAATGTTGGATTTATAGATAGAGCTAATACATACAATACTTAAAGCCGCTAATACACAGCGTTTCGGGCAAGGTGTGGGGGAAAAACACTTAGACTAAAACTTAATAGTAATTGGGAGTAAAGTATACTGTTAAAAAAGGAATAAAACAAGAAAGAGAAAAGGGGGGTGGGACATGGCAGACATCAGCAATTGTACAAGTTGGTCAACAAACAGCATTGTTTAGAAGCAAGACACAGGTACTCCCAAAAGAGTACCAATGATGCAATTGTTAGTCTGACTTAATCTACTCAGCCCTTGACAAAAGTGAGTTTCCGATTGGACTCTTCATTGACCTGAGAAATGGTTAACTATCAAAAGCCTAACTACCTCTTACTTAAACTCCATCATTATGGAATCCATGGCCTTGCCCTGAACTATATCCGATCCTATTTCAGTGACAGACACCAGTATGTAGCCATCAATGATATAACCTCTCCTACTCTACCACTAACCGTAGGGGTGCCTCAGGGCAACATCCTAGGATCCCTCCTGTTTCTTATATACATCAATGCTCTGCCTAATGTCTCTTAACATGCTTAAACCTATATTGTTTGCCGATACTACTCTCATCTACTCTGACCCTAAACCACTCATTAAATAATGTTGTAAACAATGAATTAAAAAAAGTCCACTTGTGAATGTCAACCAACCAACACTAAACATAAAAGACCTACTACATCTTATTTGGAAGCAAATCAACATATGCAATTCAGCTTCAGAGAGATAATGTAAAGATTAGCAATAAAAATGATGGAAAGTTCCTTGGCCTATACTTAGACACGACACTCAACTTCACTCACATACAACTATAAAGGTTTCTAAAACAGTTGGTATACTCTCAAAGATCAGATATTATGTACCCTACTCTGCTCTCACTATTATGCACTTATCCCTATCTAACTTATGGTATCTGTGCTTGGGGTTCAACCTCTGCAACCTACCTCAACCCCATCATCACCCAGCAAAAAAATCTTATCAGGACAATAAATTCTGCTTTCAGACAACACGGCTCCCCCCGTTTGAATCCCTAAACATGCTAAACAAATTCACTCCATGCATTCTAGTGTCAATTACATTAATACAACCCTTTTCTTAAGTGCAAACCCTGTTTTGAAACTCTTCCTGGACAGATGTAATAGAACACTCACCACACCAGACAAATATCTGATATCCCCAGTCAAACTTAATCTGTGAAAACACTATGCAAATGATCAAAACAGGCATAAAGGTCAGCGGGAAATAATTAGAAAGGAGAGGAAGGAGGGGGAGGGGGGACGAAACAAAAATTGGCCAGCAAAATTAGTGAGGACAGCAGCAGGAGTACAAGGCCACAAAAGGGACAACTGTCCCATGGAGCATCACTCCGGCAGCCGCCCACCAAGCCCCCTCACGGCAACAACGAGCCGGACGGAGGGTATATATGTAGTAGGCATCCTTCAGTCTCGAAAGACTATGGAGTTGCGCCCTGATAGGGCGCAAAGCCTGGGTAGGTAGATATGGAGAAGCTGTTACCCATGCAGTAGGTCCCCCCTCTCCGCGTTGCTGAAATTATCCAATAGAAAGGAAAATGCCAATACACATGGTTCCAGCAACGTCGCAGGAGCTGCCAGAACGAGGTCGACGTAAACAACGAACTGCCTTAAGGGCTCCAACTCCGGATGTTTTCCTCTAGGTTGACGCCTGAAGGCTTTCCACCCCCCCCCCCCCCCCAAAAAAAAAAAAAAAAAAAAGTATGGCCGTAAAGCAGCGGAGGTTTAAAATCAGGGTTTTCCTTCCCCTAGATGGGATGCCTTCTCAGGCTGTCGAGTCCCATTTACCCGGACAAGACCTCTGGTTTTAAGGCGCCAGAGGCACGCCCTCGCCCCCTTCTCTTGTCGGTAAAAGCTGTTCCGCCGGACTTAATGACTAAGACACCCGTGCAGGCCAGGAGTTGGACTTTATTGTCAGGCTGTTGGAGACGCATGCCGTATAGGAACATTTTATAGGTAATGGGAGCTGTGGTGGGTATGTGGGCCTGCGGGCCGCTCCAAGCAACAGCCTGGTGGACCAAACTCTCAAGTCAAGTCTGGCCTCGGGCCGGGCTTGGGGAGTAGAACAACTCCCAGAACCCCATCAACCAGGTACCAACCAGGTAACCCCCATTACCACCCCCTGGCTATGACAACCCCTTGGAACTTGGGGATATATGTATACAAGGGTTTAAATTTTCGTAAAGCCAGTAGCACGCATAACGTTTTGGGCAGGTTCTTAACCCTAACGTTTCCAAGGAATAGTGACCAATCACTTGGGCTGGACGATAGACCGCCGGTCTAGCTTCATGCAGGTCTGCGTTCAATTTCAGACTGTTAAAGTGATTGGACACCCTTTTCCCGTTCCAAATCCTTTGAATGATATATAGGCAATGGCTTTGCGCTCAATCCTGATAGTTACCCTTTTCCTAAATTCTTTCCATGAGCTTGCAGACTAGGTTAGTCTAATCGCATGGCAAGTAATGATCAAGAGCCAATTAAGTAAGCAAGAGGACCCCAGCCGGGAAGGCCATGTACACAGTTTCAAGTATGGATAAAAGGCCAATAGGCTCAGGAACCCGTGTACTGCTTGACCGAGTATTTACAGGCGGCACCAAGTAGCTGAAGCTTAACCCTCAGTGCTAGGAGAAGGTAACCGACCGATATGCAAGGGCGCCTGGTCTTACCGTTGGTAGAGAGAAAACTATCATCAAGGGATCAGATCCCCGACGTCTTTTTACGGGGGGGGGGGGGGGGGGGCGCGCGCGCCCCAAAGACATTTCAAATTAAGCGGAATGCAGAGCAAAATATATACTTCGTCCTATTTTTATCCGTTAGTTGCGGGTCGGTTAAATGACTAGTCATTTTCTGACGAGTGGTGTTTGCGGGGGAGAGCCCACTCATTGAGCATAACATTACTCTGATTAATGCATCAGAAGTTATTAATTTTCGCTACCTGTTTGGTGGCTTAATTTTATTAATTGGTAAAACTTTAGTAATGGCGAAAGCAGCAAGTAATATTGTTGCGATTTATTGTGTTTGTAGAAGATACGGGCATGAAATTTATACGTTTTATTCACAAGGTTTTAGAGTACGTCACATTTGTTATCCGGAAGAAAATTAAATTACTTTTCTTGCATCTAAAGTTTATAAAAGAATTTACATTGTACAATTTATATATAATCAACCAATACGGCCATGGCCGTGTCCACCTCGATGACCACCATCGCGGAAGCCTCCGTGATGACCTCGGAAACCTTCCACTACGAAGGGTCGATCTACAGGAACCACGAAAGGAACGCCAACCGGTTCAAAGTCATCAATAATCTCGAAACGTCCATCTCCACGGAAATCGTGTCCGCCTCTGAAGCGGCGTCCATCAAACCGGTGGCCTACATGACCACCTTGAAAGAAACCGTGTGGTTCAGGAGCCGACATTACGCCACTCACTGCAGTTATCATGATCTGTAAAATTTAATATATATTAGTCATTACATAATAAGTTTCTACTTAATCACCACACAACTAAAAATATAACCTAAATATTTACCAAATACAGAACAAACATCGCTGCTGATGTAGAACTGACAGCTGTATCAACACCAGAAGCCAACTGACATGCCACACCTCACTCGCCGGTTATATAACTTTGGCAGACTGGTTGTGGACCCGAAGCGAAACGGATATCTGGTGCGAGGCTCGAAGCTTCGATCATGTGGAACAAGGGGTGTGTTGGGGGCCAGCCAATTGCAGACAGCTTGAGGCGAAACACGCTAGTTTAACACTTATGGGTCCTTGTTTAGTTTGTCCCATATCATCATCTTGACGCTCTGCATCAAACTGGTTTATGTTTTGCTCTGATGCATTGCAATAATTCCCAATATGGAATTTGTTAACGTTAAACTCGGTGTTCCAGTACAGGTACAAAATCACCGCGATGGGTATTGTCTTCAGCACTTCCCGTGGATTTTTCGTGTCCCCGTTCATACTTCTATCGCATTGCGATATAATATATAGTTAAACTTATATCACGTTTCAACCTGTCCTCTTACAAAGAACATCACACTTCAATCGTATGCGTTACATAAAGTAAAAAAATTTTGGACTTGAAAATAAAAACGGCTCGCGAAAGTAACATTCTGTCCCGTTTTCTGTTTTGGGTCGGTTTTTTTTTATTTTTTATTTTTATAATTACATGCAATGCATGCTACAGAAAAGACAATAAATAAAATATAATATATAATAAGGCAGTTGTGTCTTCGGCCCGTGTCGCCGTGCACGCTGTGATGCCTCCTGTGGTGAGCATGTTCCCCGGGTTGATGAGGCTGCGATGTTGAGTGATCATGCCACGGGAGACATCTCCCGTCACGCAGGGTGCATGCAGTCACACCTCCACAGATCTCCAGTATCAGCTCTTGATACTGGTAATGGCTCAAGAGGGCCACCACTTACGGGCTATTCATGCCCGTGCCACCTTTTGGGTGGCTTAATCTTCATCAATCATCAATCAGTCAGTGATCGTGCGCTGCGGGGAGTTGCGCGACCGACTGGAGGTTCTGCTACGGTGCCTCCTGGCGGGGGTGATAGTTCCGACGACGTGCGACCTCTGTCCAAGCGTTCGTGGCGGGCTTTGAGTCTGGCTCCGCCTCGTGGTGAGGCCTGGGCCGACGTCCGGGATTTTGGGGACTCCGGAAGTTCGTCTCCTGTGGATGATGATGTGGGCGACGCTGTTGGCGTGTCTGCGGCTCTTGTGGGCCGTGTTGCAGCGGTGGTGGGTCCTGTGGGCCGTGTTGCAGCGGTGGTGGGTCCTGTGGGCCGTGTTGCAGCGGTGGTGGGTCCTGTGGGCCGTGTTGCAGCGGTGGTGGGTCCTGTGGGCCGTGTTGCAGCGGTGGTGGGTCCTGTGGGCCGTGTTGCAGCGGTGGTGGGTCCTGTGGGCCGTGTTGCAGCGGTGGTGGGTCCTGTGGGCCGTGTTGCAGCGGTGGTGGGTCCTGTGGGCCGTGTTGCCGCGGTGGTGGGTCCTGTGGGCCGTGTTGCAGGGGTGGTGGGTCCTGTGGGCCGTGTTGCAGCGGTGGTGGGTCCTGTGGGCCGTGTTGCAGCGGTGGTGGGTCCTGTGGCCGTGTTGCAGCGGTGGTGGGTCCTGTGGCCGTGTTGCAGCGGTGGTGGGTCCTGTGGCCGTGTTGCAGCGGTGGTGGGTCCTGTGGGCCGTGTTGCAGCGGTGGTGGGTCCTGTGGGCCGTGTTGCAGCGGTGGTGGGTCCTGTGGGCCGTGTTGCAGCGGTGGTGGGTCCTGTGGGCCGTGTTGCAGCGGTGGTGGGTCCTGTGGGCCGTGTTGCAGCGGTGGTGGGTCCTGTGGGCCGTGTTGCAGCGGTGGTGGGTCCTGTGGGCCGTGTTGCAGCGGTGGTGGGTCCTGTGGCCGTGTTGCAGCGGTGGTGGGTCCTGTGACCGTGTTGCAGCGGTGGTGGGTCCTGTGGCCGTGTTGCAGCGGTGGTGGGTCCTGTGGGCCGTGTTGCAGCGGTGGTGGGTCCTGTGGGCCGTGTTGCAGCGGTGGTGGGTCCTGTGGGCCGTGTTGCAGCGGTGGTGGGTCCTGTGGGCCGTGTTGCAGCGGTGGTGGGTCCTGTGGGCCGTGTTGCTGCGGTGGTGGGTCCTGTGGGCCGTGTTGCAGCGGTGGTGGGTCCTGTGGGCCGTGTTGCAGCGGTGGTGGGTCCTGTGGGCCGTGTTGCAGCGGTGGTGGGTCCTGTGGGCCGTGTTGCAGCGGTGGTGGGTCCTGTGGGCCGTGTTGCAGCGGTGGTGGGTTCTGTGGTGGGATTGTCGCCTGGCCCTGGTCCCGTGTCTTCTACAGCTGCCTCCGTGTCCCCGGTTGCTGGTTCCCCGAGTTGGGGGGCTGTGGCACCGGCCGAAGTTGCGGGAGAGGGAGGGGACTCGGTGCTGATTCTTAATTGATTGATTTTTTATTCAGGTAAAGGTACATGAGTTCTTGAGTTCTGACATGTGTTTCTTGCCTTGTTAATGTTAATGCTGATGTTGATGGTTTTTCTGTTATGACTGTATTTATGTGTTTACCAAATAAAAAGAAGAAAAAAACGAAGTATGAACGGGGACACGAAAGATCCACGGGAAGTGCTAAAGACAATACCGATCGCGGTGGTTTTGTACCTGTACTGGAACACCGAGTTTAACGTTAAGGGGGCATATAAAAAAATATCGTTATAAATTTAAATTGTTCAATTTGCTTATAAATTTTTTTATGAAATGGTTATAGAAAGGGCTGCAACTGGTCCAAGTTTCACCATCACACCCTAAACAGAAAAGGAGAAAAAAAATACACAACGTATTATGCAACGAATGTTCAACATTCTCAAATAATCTCAGGGAACACATGTGTCAACTAAAATGTCTACTATGTGCTGTAGAAGCACAGACTCTTGTAATAATTGTAATATGTATGTTCAATATATTTATATTTAAATTTTTTTTTCTTTTTATTTTTTTTTATTTTTTTTTTTTGCCAATTTTTTTTTCTCGTTTGTTATCAAGGGATTTGCATGAAACTTGCACATCTTGCTCAATGGATGCCTATCTGCAAGGGTGCCAATTATGAACGAAATCTGTCGAAGTCAAGCTCAGCTACAGGTGGCCGAACTTGGATCTTTATTTTACTCTGGAAAGTAATTTACACCTTCAAATTACTTCAGAGCTTTCATTTATTAATTAATTTACATGCACATTACACCTTATATGTAGCGTTTGTGCTTCTACAGACTCTAGTAGACATTTTAGTCCAAAGTCTATTTGTTGATTTTATAAAAATTTATAAATATCATATATTGCATATTTTTTTAGTAGGGTAACTTTGAAAAATTATATTATTGCACTAAACACTTTTTTGATAAAACTGATCACTAGAATCCTTTATTATGTGCTTAATTTAATATCTGAGTGTTATAGAAATGATTTTAGTTGACACATGTGTTCCCTGAAACTATTTGAAAATTCGTTGCATAATTCGTTGTTTATTTTTTTCTCCTTTTCTGTTTAGGGTGTGATGATGAAACTTTGACCAGCTGCAGCCCTTTCTATAACCATTTCATAAAAAAATTTATAAGCAAATTAAACCACTTTTAATTTTACATCGATATGCCCCCTTAACAAATTCTATATTGGAAATTATTGCAATGCATCAGAGCAAAACATAAACCAGTTTGATGCAGAGCGTCAAGATGATGATATGGGACAAACTAAACAAGGACCCATAAGTGTTAAACTAGCGTGTTTCGCCTCAAGCTGTCTGCAATTGGCTGGCCCCAACACACCCCTTGTTCCACGTGATCGAAGCTTCGACCCTCGCACCAGATATCCGTTTCGCTTCGGGTCCACAACCAGTCTGCCAAAGTTATATAACCGGCGAGTGAGGTGTGGCATGTCAGTTGGCTTCTGGTGTTGATACAGCTGTCAGTTCTACATCAACAGCGATGTTTGTTCTGTATTTGGTAAATATTTAGGCTATATTTTCAGTTGTGTGGTGAATTTAAGTAATAATTTATTATGTAATGACTAATATATATTAAATTTTACAGATCATGATAACTGCAGTTAGTGGCGTAATGTCGGCTCCTGAACCACACGGTTTCTTCCAAGGTGGTCATGTAGGCCACAGGCTTGATGGACGTCGCTTCAGAGGTGGACATGATTTCCGTGGAGATGGACGTTTCGAGATTATTGATGACTTTGAGCCGGTTGGCGTTCCTTTCGTAGTTCCTGTAGATCGACCCTTTGTAGTGGATGGTTTCAGAGGTCATCACGGAGGCTTCCGCGATGGTGGTCATAGAGGCGGACACGGACATGGGCGACCTTAAATCCTGCTACAGTATTCATATACAACCGAACATATATTTATATTTTAACTTTGTGAAATACTACCCTTGTGGCCATAATTGCACTGTTTTTATCTTCGGTTAACAGTTTGAAGCAAATAAAAAATTGGATTACGTAAAGTGTTTTAATGCTAAACTTTTAACTTAATATTTTTATTTCGTAATCGGAATGCGTACCGTTTAGTTGCTCTGGACTAAAACGGTTAACCCCCACACATTGTTGGAGTACTTCTCACCAGTTTGTGCAAACGTATATTTATCATACAATGCCTGAAGCCACTAATATGCAGTTTCGGGCAAGGTGGGTAAACTAGACTAAAACGTAAACCAAAACTTAGCATTAAGATTCAAACGAATTGGAACTAGATATTCTAGAGAAATAAAACTGCAGGAAATAAATTTCACTGTAATGAAGACCACAACTTGTAACTTTATACATGGCATATACCAACAAGATGGGTATGAGGTGCATAATAAATGAACTAAACTACACGACTCTTCAGAAGTTGGTCGACAATATTAATAACGCTTGTACTTGTAAGCCCTTCCTAACCAATCTGCATAATGCCTCAACTCAGATCGCACTACAAACCTGTAAGGTTAGGGTCTGTAGGTGTCATTTTTGACCCGTAACCGGGGGCTCCTCCTCCCCCTTAGTTCGGTTGAGATGATCTGCCTTTACACCTGCTCTAATAAGGTGGTCTTTTAGACTTGCCTCGCCTCCAGGCGAGCGTGCGATGGTTTTCTGGGAATTTTACCCAGGATGTATGTTCAGTTTCCCTCGTCCATGTCCATACTTCCTGGAGTTTTATCTTAAACTGCTGCAAGGCCGGGGAAGAAAAAGGGTTGGGAGGATCCATCTGTTGTCCTCCTTATTCTAGGTTTGAGTAGCTTCGCTCTTGTCTTGTTTAAAGAGTTTCTCTTGAGCTGCATGTACTATTGTCTCTGGGTAATCTGTTTCTGAACATATACCCAGCTTGGAGACCTATGGGATATAGCATCCCTTTGTTGTTAATCCGTCAGAGTAAGGTAGATTTATTAAAAGCTAATGGGTGGCTAGTCAAACTTCAGACACTTGAAGGTTAGTCGGTTTATAGTATGCCTTGGAATGCAGATGCCTGGCTAGCTGGTAGATATACTGTTGTATTTAGGAAACTTAGTGGAGTCAGTGTTCGAGGGTAAACTTGGTTTTCATGAACTGACCATGAAAAACTTAGGCGCGGGAAACCGTCCATTATTCCGAAGATGTCTATATAACGGAAATATACCGCCGGTCCGTCCTTCCTGTGGGATCTTCCTCTTGAACACTGCATGCAAAGATTTAGGAGATTGCCACACTACTGGATGCTTCTATCGCTGTACCCTTGGTTTGCCGGTATGCTCGTCCTTCAAATTGCAAGAGGTCTCATCACATGGAGGATGGCTTCAGAGTTTCTTTTGAGGAGGTCCTCCATACTCCTGCGTCTCTAAGTTCCTGTCTGATTCTGGTTCTGTTATCTGTAAAAACAGATGATACTTTGCAATTTCTATGGTAAGCTCTGGTAGAGCGATAAAAAGTTCATTGACAAAAGGCGGGCCCCTCTCGGGACGTGGCCTCTAATTTCTGCAATTTTCTTGAGGAAATCCGTCGTATCTTGGATTCTTTGCAGTAGTAGACGTAGTAAGGGGTTCAAGAAGGCTGTGCAGATCCAGTCTATCGGCCTTGTTTGGGCCCGGCAGCCGCTTGGAACCGGTCTCTTGCCACGTTCCTGTTAAATTAACATTTAAGCGGTAAGGTATGTACTTTATTTAGTACTTGGTTTTTCTCTTAGGCTGTACTTGTATCTACCAGTTTGACACTTAGAAAAGTCATTGTAAGCTTCCTACATTTAGAGCACGTAGTCTGGTTAAGTCGCACGCTTTGAATATAAAATTAGTACTTTAATAGTGGTTCCCGTAGGTTCTGTTACGTCTTGAAAAGCGTTTAAGGTAAAGATTGTCAGTTCAGTTTTAAATAGAAAAAGAACATTTGAGATCAGAGACTTCGCGGATCTGCCTCTTCCCCCCTCGAGCACTTTTTCCATGACACCATATTAGACGCTGGCCTCCGCTCTATAACTCAAAATTCCGCGCGCCCCCAGAATTAAGTTGCCTGATGTAATGCAGATTGTGCTCGGGCTATAAGCGTGCAGTTAGTATCCAGTACACTGGACCCGGATTCACAAAGCAGTTACGCAAGTACTTAAGAATGTGTATATCTTTCCTCAATCTTTAACGGCTTTGGTTACATTTATTAAACAGTTTACAAGCATGAAAACTTCCCGATAAACTGTTATTATAAACAGCCTCCTGGTACTTCGGAGCTCATTAACTGTTTAATAAGCAAACAAAGCCGTCAAAGACTGACCCAGACCCCCCTGCAGTTTTCAAAATATCTGAAATGTCGGAAATTTTACTCCTAAGCATGAATTTCTAACCAAATTCTGACTCTCTGCACCTATTTTCATTTTCAAATTACGACTTTTTATACCGAAAATATGTCAATTTCTGAAAACGGCGAAGGATAATATTTTGCCCAAACCCCTCTGCAGTTTTCAAAATGTCTGCAATGTCGGAAATTTGCCTCCTGAATGTGATTTTAGACCCGAATTCTGACTCTCTGCACCTATTTTCATTTTCAAATTACGACTTTTTATACCGAAAATATGCCAATTACTGAAAACGACGATGGATCATATTTTGCCCAAACCCCCATGAAGTTTTCAAAATATCTGAAATGTCGGAAATTTGACTGCTGAGCGTTATTTTTGAGCCGAATTCTGACTCTCTGCACCTGGGAGCCGGTCGGCCGAGCGGACAGCACGCTAGACTTATGATCCTGTGGTCCTGGGTTCGATCCCAGGCGCCGGCGAGAAACATTGGGCAGAGTTTCTTTCACCCTATGCCCCTGTTACCTAGCGGTAAAATAGGTACCTGGGTGTTAGTCAGCTGTCACGGGCTGCTTCCTGGGGGTGGAGGCCTGGTCGAGGACCGGGCCGCGGGGACACTAAAGCCCCGAAATCATCTCAAGATAACCTATTTTCATTTTCAAATTACAACTTTTTATTCCGAAAATATGCGAATTACTGAAAACGGCGATGGGTCATGTTTTGCCCAAACCCCCCTGCAGTTTTCAAAATGTCTGAAATGTCGGAAATTTGACTCCTGAGAGTGATTTTTGAGCCGAATTCTGACTCTCTGCACCTATTTTCATTTTCAAATTACGACTTTTTATACCGAAAATATGCCAATTTCTGAAAACGGTGAATGGTCATATTTTGCCCAAACCCCTCTGCAGTTTTCAAAATGTCTGAAATGTCGGAAATTTGCCTCCTGAATGTGATTTTAGACCCGAATTCTGACTCTCTGCACCTATTTTCATTTTCAAATTACGACTTTTTATACCGAAAATATGCCAATTACTGAAAACGACGATGGATCATATTTTGCCCAAACCCCCCTGCAGTTTTCAAAATATCTGAAATGTCGGAAATTTGACTCCTGAGCGTGAATTTTTAACCGAATTCTGACTCTCTGCACCTATTTTCATTTTCAAATTATGACTTTTTATACCAAAAATATGCCAATTACTGAAAACGGCAATGGGTCATATTTTGCCCAAACCCCCCTGCAGTTTTCAAAATATCTGAAATGTCGGAAATTTGACTCCTGAGCATGAATTTCTAACCGAATTCTGACTCTCTGCACCTTTTTTCATTTTCAAATTACGACTTTTTATACAGAAAATATGCCAATTACTGAAAACGGCGATGGGTCATATTTTGCCCAAACCCCCTTGCAGTTTTCAAAATATCTGAAATGTCGGAAATTTGACTCCTGAGCGTGATTTTTGAGCCGAATTCTGACTCTCTGCACCTATTTTCATTTTCAATTTACGACTTTTTATATTTCGAAATTCAACATTGGCTGTTTCTTATCTCCAGCAGATTTAAGTAGTTTTGCTGGGTCCCCAACCATATTGGTGTTTCCTTAAATAAACGTGCGTATGCTGCTGCTAAGGAGGCTAGCCGTACTTGCCCCATTTCCTGGAAAGGTGTTTCTTATTTCGGCTTCTATTCAGTTATTCATTCGGCAATCCGTGTCTGTTACCAGGGTCATTGGTCTGTTTCTGGTAACAAACTGAGTGTTCTGGTAGTGTGACCCCCATGGCCTTCCCTCTACCATTGTAACCGGCGGTGGGAAACTACTCTGGCGAGATTACTTATTGGCCATACATGTTTAACTCATGGGCACTTAATGGAGCGCCGCCCTGGTCCTTTTTGTCCAAACTGCATTGTCTCTTACAGGCCTGCATATCATATTTGAATCTTGAATGACCAGCCCGAAATGCTATGCATGTTAGTGGCTTTACAAGAATGTAAAAGCATCAATGCTATGTATCACAGCAGTTACTCCATCTATCATCATTCTATTATGCAGGAAGAACCGCACGTGTATGGGTCATCCAATAATGTTAGCAGACTTCTAGATGTTACCACTGCTAGGCTTAGGCTCGGCTACAAGTACTTC